CAGCAGGAAAAATCCACTAAAAATTCGATATCTCTGTCAAATCTCAATATGGGCACGAATCCTTTGGAGGTTTCTCTAATCTAGTGGTTCCCTACCTAATGGGCAACATATGAGCTGAAAAGCTTTTAATCACTTGGGAACGTTCCCTCGTAAGAATTCAAACTTTATCAAGCAATTATCCAATAACATTCTTGGTAGAGGTTCTTTAATTAGTGTAGTCATAAAAAATAATCAACCTTTTCAGTGTCTCTCATTTCTGTGTTTTTTTTTGTCAAAAAAATTATTCTATAAGTATGCGCTCATTTTGTCTTACTTATTCTACCTACTCGAAACGACGTGAGCCACCGGTGATTCACTGTAAAGAATAGCCTAAAAGGTTGTTTATCACAGAAAAAATTGAATATCTCTATCACACTTTGACCAAAAAGATTAGCTTTTCGACCACTGATAAAAGAATATTCATAGGAGAAATGTTGATAAATGTCGTTCTGAAGTATTATAGCTATCATAAATAAAGAAATAGAATCTTTCACAAATTATGAAAAAGTAATATTTATATCGTCGCGAAAGAGTTAATATTGACTCTTCGTTCCATGTTTTATTAAATGACGTATTTTACACTACAAATTCCCATTTGAGAATTTTAATTAATATAATGAACTTTATAATAGAATAGCTAGTAGTTTTTCTTTTCATAATAGATGATTTTAGAAAATTTTCACAGTTACGAATAACTATTTCCATTTTTTCACGAGTAGATAATGATGTAAAAGAATTTACGGGACAAAATTTGTGTAGCTTTTCATCTATTAACTAGCTGAGAGAATTTTTTTCACCACAAATCAACTATTTAGTTCTCTCTAATGCAAAATTTTCATTTATTCAAGAAATTATGTTTCTTTTTCTTTTTTCACTATTTATGTACTTATAAATATTTGTATGTTTCACTGATGTATTTATTTTGCTGATATGACGTAAGATTATTTATTTTGTTTTTCTTGTTTCTTCACTGTTTGTATGCACATGATTGCTTCATATGTTCACGATGTTTTCCTTTTTTGTATGTTCCTTCTCCTGTTATATGATGGTAATGCTCAACTGAGCAATGCTATAGTTGAAAACAAAAAGGCACTTTACATTAATGGAGAAATTGGTACACTTGTAGTTTTCATGTATTAACATGATTATAAATCTCACATATCTCACTGGTTCTTTTCAATCAAGCAACTGATTATCACATAAATTTTATGAAATCAAAATGGTGCACAGCACGAAAAAGGAACTCATCAATATTGACTAAATCATTCATATAACAAGATTATGTTACGATCACTTCGTATGAATTTAATCTTACAAGAAATCGATTTACAACATGATGACGTTAGCCAATGTCAATGAACCCAAAAAATAGCATCTGTACAACCTTATAAAGAACGATCTTTGATGTTATTATGAGGGTGTGGGTGTGGGTGGGTGTGGGGTGTGGGTGTGAGGGTGTGGGTGCGTGTGGGGGTGTGGGGTGTGGGTGTGAGGGTGTGGGTGGTGGCTGTGGGTATGGGTGTGTTGGTGGGGTATGGGGTGTGGGTGTCGTTGTGAGTGTGGGTGTAGGCGTGGGTGTGCGTGTGGGTCTGCATGAAGACAAGACCGACACCCACGCCAACAGCCACACCCACGCCAACAGCCACACCCACGCCTACACCCACACCCACACCCCACCCACACCCGCCCACACCCACACCCCACACCCACCCACACCCACACTCACACCCACACCCACCCAACCCCACACCCCACCCACCCACACCCAACCCACACCCACACCACCCACCCACACCCACACCACCCACCCACACCCACACCCACACCCTATGAAGCTGATAGAAAAGAGTCCTATGAAGGGTGTAGGTGTGGGGTGTGGGTGTGGGTGGGTGTGGGTGTGGGTGGGTGTGGGTGTGGGTGGGTGTGGGTGTGGGTGTAGGTGGGGTGGGTGTGGGTGTGGATGTGGGTGTGGGTGTAGGCGTGGGTGTAGGCGTGGGTGTGGCTGTTGGCGTGGGTGTCGGTCTTGTCTTCATGCAGACCCACGCCTACACCCACACTCACAACGACACCCACACCCCACACCCCACCCACACACCCATACCCACAGCCACCACCCACACCCACACCCACACGCACCCACACCCTCACATCCACACCCCACATCCACCCACACCCCCACCCACACCCACACACCCACACCCACCCACACCCACACCCCCAAAAATATCAGCCATCATCTCCAGAAATCATGCATGAACTAAATTCTTTTCGCGTTATTTTGTCGAAATATATCTAATCGTAGAATTTTAGCAGAAAGAAATATATTTAAAAAATATTTTTTATCGCTGTAAAACGATCAAGTAGTGAGAACGACTAAATGGCTCAATCTCTTCCAGAAAAAGCTATTTATTGATACAAAAACTAGGAATAGATTTAACTTCCAATACATCATTAGAAAGAGCACTATTTTTACTACAAAAACATCATTGAACATATTTTCTCACTCCGCTTCTAATATAAAAAGAAACTAACAGAAAATAGAAAATGATGTTGCTCGATGATGAAGTTGCAAGAACTTTTTTAGAGGTGTTTGCTTTTTGGCTTTTCCACCGTCTCAGATTCGTTCTGGAAAAATATGTCTGATAAAAAATTTGTAGTTCAGACTTTGTTCTTTCTAACAAGGAAAATTGATTGATTCAGAAGTTGGTAATATGATCTAACAGGATTTTATATTTGGGCAAAGACTTTTGCATCGATCATTATTAAAAAAACGCATATAGACTTTTTTAACATATACTGTTTTTATTGTGCCTATGAAACGAGATTGACAATGATAAAAACGCACGTCAATTAAAACAGAGCAGCATACATATTCTATAATTGCTATTAACATGTTTTCAAATAGCATCATCATTTATTTACACAATATTAATATTTCTCTTTCTGTTAGTCGATGGAATAGCCTTAAAGTCTGTTGATCGAGAAAAACGTTCTAACTAATCTGAATCACGATAGAATTATAATTTCAAGCCTTAAAATTTATTCGAAAAAAATTGGAGAAATTTTTCGAAAATTTTCACCGCTGCCGCGCCGCGACAGCCAAAGTAGATAAATTGCCGCTGCCGCCGTGGCGGTCGCGTCGCGCAGCTCCGCCATGGACATCTCTGATTGGTTCATCATTTGATTCATTGATAAAATGAAACATTACTTTTTTTAATGAACAGTTCATAATTAGACGATGTCAGCGATTACAACATATTTTTACCTATTAATTGAGTTGAAGATAGGGACAATATCTTGTGTTTCATGTATCTTTCTTAATTGACTTTCTGATATACAACTATTTTGTAATTTTCTTCTTTCCTTCTTCTCTTTAATGTCATTACACGTTTGATTTTATCTGCTTTTCGATGTTTAAAGAAACTATAGATACTGATCAAGTAGAATGAATTTAATATTAACTTTATATGATTTGTTTTAGTTTTGATTCGTTTATAATTACGTAGAATTACAATTTTTGTTGCTAATGAACGATTTTTCGACAATTTGTTTGTAACAAAGAAATAAGGAAAGCAGTAATGACTACGACAGTTAATGTATCATTACCAAATTTGAATAAATTTACGGAAATAATAAGAGACAAAAGGGATGACATAAATGTATGAATAAGGAATGAGAAACTAAGAGAGATAGCTGTTCATTTTTTGAAAATTTGAGGAGTAAGTGTAAACGAAACAACATCGTACGTTCACATCTTCATAACTTTTTCTAACTTCTTTTTGGTATCGATAGTTTGTTCAAAGATAGAATACAAAGCCGAGAAGATCAGAGAATTACAAGATCAAAAGGAGTGACATATTCAGAGAAGAATAAGTGAATAGTTTCTATACTAGCCACATGATTGAGAAGATACATGAGAGAAAAGATACTGCCCTTAGTAGCATCAAATTATTGTATGTCCACCTTTCATACTTTTTCGTGACCAACAAACACATGGCAATTATCATTAATTGGCATGCTCATTAAGACAAGCTAATTATTTCAAAAATACGTATTAGAATAGTAACTTACATAAAAATAAAAAAGATTTGATAAGATGAAAGACTGTGAAATCATTTTCTATATCAATACTAGTAGGAAATGACGCTTCGAACATAAAAGAAGATAGTTTTTACATTTTCCTGTCTATCGATTGGTATCCGTAAGTATTTCATCTTTATTTATAAAAACGAATACTGTTTTTAGAGGTAAATTTTTCTTATTTAATAGAATTTTTAACTCATTCATGATAATAAAAATCAGGTTTGCTAGATATGTTAAAAAGAAAGAAAGTTTCTTAATATTTCTTGATGTTTTGAGTTTTGTGCTTTTGTACATTTTTCTAAACATGTCGAGCTGTTATATTTATGTCAATGTCGTTAGTTGCATAAAATATAATAAAAGTCATCGTTAGGATAGTAATGCACTTCAGAATAACATAAATAGTAATTAATTTTACGAATAATTGTATAGATGATTCAATCTATCAAATTCAATATTGAGCACAGTTCTCAAAAATTGATGAAACAAAAAAAACGAAAAATTGAATGAGTAAACTTTTGTTTCATGATGATTTGTGTGGTATACATTGGCATGATAGAAAAGAAAAGAAAAGAAGAAAATAGACAGATAGTGATAAAGTATGGATCAATATCTGATTGGTTCATACGCTCTATGTGAAGTGAGGCACAATTCTTTGGATTCCTATGACCGGATATCAGCTAATCATTGAGTCTCTACATTGTAAAAGATGGCGTTGAATATCAGTTCAATTTTGTGAAAGGTAAAGTTCTTTT